TAAATAAATAAATAAATAAATAATTCTTGTCAGCCCTCACTGTTGGTTTTTGTTGGCCACATGAAAATAAGAAGCTGACTTCAATAATAAATAAATAAATAAATATTTCTTGTCATCCCTCACTGTTGCTTTTGTTGGCCACATGAAAATAAGAAGCCGACTTCAACTGAGTCAGGCCTTTGATCCATCTAGCTTAGTATTGACTCCTCTAGCTGACAGCAGCTGTTTGGTGGTGTAGGCAGTGGACCCTCGAGAGAGTTTCAAGCAGCTCTTCAGTTACATTTCAGTGGTTTTCCTTGATTTCAAACCCAAGGTTTTAATGTCTAGCATTCCCTGGTGGTCATCCAGATACTAACCAGACTTGGCCCAAACCAACTTAGCTTCTAAAATCTGGAAAAACCCAGCACATTCCAGCCCTTGGAGGAAAAATGTCTTGGGAACAGCAGTCCAACAATATTTGGAAGGCCACAAATTATCATCCATAATTTAAATATTTTGGGTGCATATCATATATTGGGTGGTGGGCTTAGATCTGGCCAATACATTTGTGTTCATTGCAAATCCCTGCAAGTTAAATCCAGTTGTGGCTCTTGATGAGTTCTATGTGTTGTTTTAGGTCTTCATTCTGTGATATGGAACAAATTACTAACTTATTTACCTATTTAATGGGAGTATGAAAACAGCAGCTTCATGACTGTTACTATTGAATAACTGGTGACAATGATAGATGTTTCTCATTTACTTTATTTGTCCTTTTCTCTAGTATTTGGAGTTAAGGTTTAACAAGCCTGTTCGAATAGCCGCAACGTTGATTTACATAGTGCAGACGGTAAGACATGTCCTTCATCTATGTGTGTGACAGATGCCCTGATTTCTGACTCATTAGCTCTCTTGTAGGTATGGAAAAGCTGCCTCTGTTCTCTTCTGGGAGTGAATGGACAGTAGCAGAGAGACTGAGCATAAGCAGGGAATGTTTTCTTCCAAAAGGAACAAATTGGAAATTACTAAACATTCAGGATGCTGCAGCATTGTCTGGAAGGTCATTTCTCCTTTATTAGGATGAATCTCTTTAATTGTTTCTTCACAGAATTGTACGTGCATGTGGACCTTGGCTTTTCTGGGTTTGGTTGAATGCCATTTGCTGTGGTTAAAACATCTGCTGTTCTCTGTTTGATGTTTTCATAATTTCTCATTTGGATGCACAGTGTAAGTCTAAAGTTTAAATTTTTCCTAGTTGTAGGACTGCCATGGAATTCCACACATGGCAAGCAGATTCTTATCATGGTACATGGGTTCTTAATACTTGAGATCAGTTCTTTAAAATCAATAGTGATTTTCTCAGAATCAACAAATGTCTTCAGAAATCAATCTCTGGCATTATCTTTCCACTTGGGATTCATATAACTTTAGGCTGCTCTGAGTATGGCAAACGCATGCGTTTTGATGGCAAAGGAGGAGAAGGGACAGCGAGGACCTTCTTCCATTTGAAGGGCCGACAGAGGACAATGATCCTTCTGAAGGTGTCAGTCATCTGCGAAGTTGCCAATCCAAGTCTGATGTAAAAACAATGAACCACAAATAGGGAGATAAGGGACTCTAGAGTTGCACATCTTAAAAAAAAAGCATGTGAACAGTAGCCTAACATGAACATGGTCACTTGGTCACTGCCTTCCTTATTTGGTGAGATGTTCAATAATTCTGCTCAAATTATAAAAAGCATTCTTAAGTTTGCATCTCAATATCTCAATAAGCATGTGCGATTTTATGTACTACAGAGTCCTCTTTGGTCCTCTGTTTTAGTTATGCTATGCATGTCCTCCTTTTTGGTGACAAACAAGTTGCTGCCCTACAAAAGGACCACGACTGTCCTTCCTTGAACCAGGAAGGAAAATCAGCTCTACAGAGTATGACAATCAGCTCTTCTTTATTTGTTTTTTGTCCTGAGAAGAAATCATGTGCCTTGCTAGTTTCAGAACAGCAAAAAAAAAAATCTCATATTATCTTCCTGTCAAAATGCTGTTAAAAGAAATTACTTCCTTCTTCTTGGAATTGCATGGGAATGTGCTGCAATGCTAGCCCTTTCCTGGAAAGAATCCAAGGGCAGAATTCACAAATCATGTGGGTCACACAAAATGCCAACAGAGAATGAGGACTCTGTTCTTGCCTGAGGTTGCTTAGAAAGCAGTATGAAGTTAATTGGCTTTTCTGGCAGGGTAGCCCAGTATGTGTGCCTACTCAGGGAACGATTTGTTCCCTAGAGGACTCCACCTCACAAAATCTAATGCAGCATCAGCAATAGTTTGATACTGACAGAAATTGCTCGCTTCACAAACTTTAAGGTGATGCTGCAGATAATTCTGAAGAACTGTAGACTATATAGGCCAGTGTGAGTTGACGAATTCATGCTGGGCAGCTCTGTTTGTACCAGAAAGATTTGGATGCCCCTGAAAACCCAGAGAGTGTGGTTGCTGACCTTGAGCCAGACATCCTGGAGAGTGAAGTCAAGTGGGCCTTAGAAAGCCTGTCTAACAACAAGGCCAGTGGAGGTGATGGCATTCCAGTGGAACAATTTAAAATCTTAAAAGATGGTGCTGTTAAGGTGCTACATTCAATATGCCAGCAAGTTTGGAAAACTCAGCATTGGCCAGAGAACAGGAAAATATCAGTCTACATCCCAAACCTGAAGAAAGGTAGTGCCAAAGAATGCTCCAAATACCGTACAGTTGCACTCATTTCACATGCTAGCAAGGTTATGCTCAAAATCCTACAAGGTAGGCTTCAGCAGCATGTGGACCAAGAACTCCCAGAAGTACAAGCTGGATTTTGAAGGGACAGAGGAACTAGAGACCAAATTGCTAACATGCACTGGATCAAGGAGAAAGCCAGAGAATTCCAGAAAAAACATTTATTTCTGCTTCATTGACTATGCAAAAGCCCTTGACTGTGTGGACCACAGCAAACTATGGCAAGTCCTTAAAGAAATGGGAGTTTCTATCTATCTCCTGAGAAACTTATACGTGGGACAGGAAGCAACAGTTAGAACTGGATATGGAAAAACTGATTGGTTCAAAATTGGAA